AGTAGTAGCAGCAGCAGTCGTCGCCGTCGCCGTCGTCGTAGCGGTATTGGTCGAGCGGAAGCACTCGTATCGTTCGTTGAGCTCAAGGCTGAAAGTGGCAAAAAAGCTCTCCAAGTTCGTGTGCAGATAAGCGGAAACTGTCGTAGATTATTCAGATGAGCTCTTTATCCTTGCTTGACACACTAAGACATGAGAAAGATCTCCTGTTTCTGCAGTAATCAGGAGTAGGGTTCTTTCGCGGGTAGGGCTAACGCTGGCACTTGCACCCTCGCACCAAGCCTACTGCAAATCTATGCTCTGTCATTCTTCGCACGAGGAACTCTTCGCTTTTGTTACTTGTGAATATCTCTTGACATGGTAGTACCTCTTTACTTTTTCTGAGCCTTGCCTGGTGCCGCAGGACGTCCTCGATGGTGGCACTCTTGCCTTTCTGAGTAAAGTCCGGCCACAGGTGCGCAACAGGGCTGCTGAGCGCCACGGCTTTGCCTGTTGCGCGAAGCAATAACGGAAGATCTGACAGACAACTTATTTTGCGAATGACATATTAGCAGGTAACTACCCAAACGACCCTGCATCTGTGAAGCATTCGAAGAGGTTCCACAGCAAATCTATATAGACTCTGCTGTCAGAACGACGTGGTCTTCTTGAGCATGGATAAACGGTCTCGGAGCTGCTCCTGGCCTGGCCTGTCTCAGACGGCTGTGTCAGGGCTCTCAACAGAGACATCAGCAGAGGCCCAGCAGACAGGCTCAGCAGCGGCATCACCTCGGATGAAATAAGTCTCTGCTGGCCTCTCCACGCCAACCTGGATGACTGGCGGCTGCGACCTACGTCTCTCCTGACACCTGAAAATGCAGCGAGCAGGGCTGGAATCAAGGGTTTTCCGGGTAACTTGTGACCGGAGCACTGTCTCATCGGAGATCGCCGCTCCGTGGCAGACGGCCACCCGCCCGCAGCTCGCTTTGCACATCACTTCCCCTTTTTGGTCCAGCACGGCGACCTGCAGACTCCATGGCGTTAGCTACGTGTTTACCAGTTTGGACTGCACTCTGCAGTGGCTCTATACGCTTCATAGCAGCCAGATCTCCAAGCATCTCCCAGCTAAAACCAGGAACGGCCATTTGACGCTGGCATGTACTGCTCGTGCGGAAAAGTCGCAAGACATGAGAATTACCTAACAAAACGCCAGCGTTGCGTACGGTGTTTTTCTGCTTAGACTTGTCAAAGCCCATTCCCAGGCCCCACTGTCCTTTCCAGCTACGCGTGGGCCTTTGTGTACATCAGTACAGCGCTCAACCAGGGTTTTGTGGACCCTGAGCAGGTTCCTAAAGTAAACATACGAAGGGAGTCGTCCATACTTGTTGCCCCATACAATGACAACCGCCGCTTCTGAACAACCACTGTCGCGCCCGCGCGGGGACTCGGGAGTTTGGCCTCTCCTCACATCATTAGGGCAAACTGTCGGTTATCGGCTATCGGAGTCTGCAGTCTGCGTCGTACGGTAACGCTGTCATAGTTCTTCCAGGCCTGGGCAGCCAAGATGAGATGTTGGTCGTCCAGCGCTTGCAGCTTGGCTCGGACCTTTTGCTCCAGCGCGGAGCAGCCTTCACGGGGCGGTAAACCGAAGCACTGAGATCACTTTAAGGCTTTGGCTTGACGGAGCACCGATGCGAGTGCCGAGGCCTGGAGGATAAGGCATAGCGGCCAAAGGGCTCCATCGCCCCTGGCTCTGCAGCAGCGGCATGCAACTGTCCAGCATAATCGTCGCGAAAGGAACCGTGACCTTCAGCCAGAAGGCTACTGGCAGATGCGGCCATGGGCAATCACAACAGTGGAAACCCCTCTCCTCCAGCCCACTGCGTCGTGGGCGATAGACAAGTATGTCTCAGCGATCGCCACGATGCCCGATCGACCCCCCTCCAGTTAGAACAGGCTCGAACATACCAGACGGTTGCAGGGGCCACCAGTTTCAAGTTGTGCAAGGGTCCGAGGTTTGGCACAACAGCCAATTCACCACACAATGAGCCCACTTCCAAAAACAGGGCTGCGCAAGTACGAGAAGGGGTGTGAGGGAAGCATCACCGCAACTATTCCTTGACACAGTTTGCCACATCTGGCTCGCACAGGGAGGCGCCAGACACGCATAGCCATCTGCGCAAGATATGTCAATGTGACATGCACATAGCTCGGACAAACCTTCGTTGCAGCTCGTACAAATTTAATTTCGACCATCGTGACCATCGCCGAACCCTGCATGTGCTTACATACCTGTACTCCGTACAAATAATATGTATACATGTAGAACCATATACAGAGAGAGAGTGTGTGTGTGTGAGAGAGAGAGGGAGAGAGAGAGAGAGAGAGAGAGAGAGAGAGAGAGTGACACATCAAGACATAAACGGGCCTCCAGCATGCCACAGATGTTCTGCAGCATCTCTAAGCCACGTAGGAAGAAGAGCACGACCCCCGGGATCTTCCCGATAAGGCGGCTCTGGTCCTTGCCTGTTTTGCTTTCCTGGCTCTCTGCCTTCTCCTGGTGTTGTTGCATCTGCTGCAAGAAGTTCATCTGAGAGTTGCTGGGTATGGAGTCCCGGAACATGAAGGCGCATTGGCCCAAGGATGCTTCCACGAACGTTGCGAACTCTGGCATGTCAGGATCCGCATCGAACTCGAAGCCAAGGTCCCGCAGGCTGTTCACATAGAGCAGCCTATCCTGTGCCAAGGTAGCCACTATCCACTTGGCTGCAGCGATCCGCTCGTCCTTCTCCAAACGCTTCACAATGCCTTGGCTCCGAAAGATTCGAGTACCCCGATTCGACGCAACATCTCTACAACAGTAGATGCAAAGTGGAACGGGGAGACTTGGGCATAGACAGCTGGCTGCACTTGGCTCCTTCTAGGCCCATTCTAGGAGTATGCTAGCAGAGGCACCCCAGTCCAAAAGCACGGGACGCACTTGCGTATCACCATTGTTGGTCTTAACCGGCTCGACAAACACATTGCCTGGAGGCTGGAGGCACCCTCTTCAAACTTTAAAACGGTCTCACACCGGACCGGCCGACCCTTACCAGGTGTGAAAGTTAGTCTCCGTTATGATCATGACTGTGGCGCTGCTGCTTTGCTGTTGACAGGCGCCTGGGTGCGGATCTCCATGAATCAAGCCTTCCTGGAAGACCAGCACAGCAAAGGCATGCACCAGGTTGCGAGCCATTGTTTCCCGGTCTGTTCCATATGGCATCTTGTCAACGTCCGTAATCTTCCAGCCTTCAATGAAGACCATGGTCAGGACTCTCTTGCCGCAGTACTCGGAGATGGGCATCGGGCAAACTACGTCTATCCCACGCTTCTGCAAGGCTTTCGATGCATCCGTGGCGTTCTTCGCCTCAAGCAGGAAGTCCACCTCCTCTTTCGAGGCACGGCGCCACTCCCGGATAAGGTCCTCAGAAAAACGCACGCAAGTACGCGCGCACACACACATTACCTTACATATATTACATGCATTACACACGTTGCATTGCAACGTCACAAAATCATTGCATTACGTTGCAGTACTACATACAGACATACATACCTACCTACCTGCCTGCATGCATGCATGCATGCATGAATCCATGCATTACAAGCATTACAGAAATACATGCATACATACATTCATAGTACATGATGATTGATTATATGTGGGTACATGCTGGTCCTCATCTGAATCTATCATGTCAAAGCATTCCTTCTATGGCCAACGGTGGGTGGACATGCCCGCTGCTAAATGTCGCAGCTCTTACTTGCAATGAGATATGCGCTCTTATCTGTGAAGCCTGCATCCAAGCCGGCAGCAAGCTGACGCTCAAGTGCTGAAGCCAAGAAACAGAAAAGTCTGGTGCATCGGGGTGGTACTTGGCCATTCGGCCAGCAATAAACTCGACCGTCTTGAGGTCTGCCGTCATGAGACTGCCAACTCCGTGATGTTGAACTTTTACACACACCTTTTGCACTGTGCATGCGGAAGCTTAGCACGATTTGTTCTCAAGTTGCCCACGTCTCCGGCGGCGTTAGTTTCAACTGCGTGGATGCAATCGAGGCATGGATGTTTGTTGAATTACAAACTCTGCGTTGCACTACGTAAAGCTAGGGTGCATAATTCTGGCCGCTTTAGGCCTGCAAACTCTAGCACGGCTGCAGTACAAGGCCAAAACCAAAGCAACACAGGAATTCTGTAAGCAAACGTTCTTTTTGCAGTCCGAAGTCCTTCTTGCGGTTGCTCCGCAGATTCGCAACATGCGCCTCCGCAGCAAAGTGCGACATCGATGAGGAAGCCGAGTTCTCTCTACCACTTCTTACTCCACATTTGCCGGCAGTCGTCAAGTTGTGAGTTGTGAGGAAGAGCGAGGAAAAGCGAAATTCAGACAACACATACCGGCACTGTGCGGGCTGAATATCCCGTTTGGCACAGGCACAGACAGCTTGTTGTTCCGATGCCTCATAAACATGTCCTAGGGGTCCTAGAGGCAAAGGATGCCACCCTTTCAACCATCCTTCGCCCAGCCTGGCCCACGCTGGCCGAGGCAATTGGCTTCTGGCCGAAGTTCTCGAAGATGTCTTGCAGAGGACGTCCCAAATCCGTCTGGATGGTTCGCACCACTTCCTGCAATTCACGCTCAAGTGACGTCAGGAAAGTGTGGTGCCGGACTACCGGAGCTATTTCCCCTGAACCCTGCATTCGCTGCACTCTCCTGGAAGTTGGAGATGGGCAGCTCATCCTGCAAGCTCCGTAGTTCCTCGACCCAAGGAGCGGGCAAGCTGCCTGCCTTACTGGAGGCCGCCTGACCTGAGCAACGAACCGCTTTTGTGTACCACCGCTTTGCGCAAGGAATTACTTGGCATTCCATTACCGGTTTGAAGAAGACTTCCACAGTGAAGGCATCTTACAGGCAGGTGTTCGAGGAGACTTCCTTCGAGAAGCGATGCTGTGAGAGGCCGTCCTCTAGTGCTTTAGATCAGATGCGGGTGAAACTGGTAAATGGACAACTGAGCATCGGAACCCCTGTCATGGAAACCAGGCTCAAAAGGCTTTAGTGGCAAGCGCGGGCAAGGCTCCGATCTTTGTCAAGAAACCGCGATATTTCAAGATGTGCTGATGGACCAGTTTGGCATTCCTCCGATGTAGTTCGGTCCATCGTTTGTCAACAATCTCCTTGTCCAAATCTGGCTGCGAAGCGAGCTCGTGTTCCTGAGCAGATTGCCAGACGACTTGGCACCGACGACTTAATCACAATTTCGGGAAAAAACTGCCGCAAGCGAACCACTGGAGCACGCACGAGAACAGTTATGTTTTGAACAGACTGTGCAGCTCAAGCGCCAGCTTCTTGACCGACCGACTGACGCGATAGGCCAGGCGGACTGTGGCACCCGAACGCGTCAGCAGCGAAACTCTGCCAGTGCTGGCTTTCCACTCTGTCTCCATCACCCACCAGGAGCGCGCTGCTCCATGGCTCACGCTGGCCAGCTTCAGCCGAAAACCATCACCTACTTCCCCCCACGATATGTGCTTCTGTCACCTCCGGTCGTCACACATCTATCCTGAAAGTATCGCAAGCTAGGGGAACTAAAGCGAAGTTGTGAAGCAGCTACAGTAAAAGCAACATTGCTACAGCATTGACCGTCAGCATTGACAGACGGAAACATTCAGAGCTCGGTAGCATCATTGAGGTGTGACAAGACCGCTCTTGACTGCGCAGTCCTACTCGAAAGGAAAGGAGAATAATCACGATTGAGCCAAATTTGCAGGTACACAGTGCAGTTAAGCATTACGAGACGACTCATGTTGGACTCTCAATGCCGGGTTGAATACCCCGGCGTGAGCTGATAGAAAACTTCTGACTAGCTACATGCACGAAGGGTTCCATGCCACGGCCACTCGTTCGTACTCAGCTTTGGTGAAGCCCTCGCGCTCGTTGATGACGGCCAGGACCGCACAAAACTCGCCAAGGTCCATGTCCTTGTCGCCAATAAGCAGGTAGCGGTAGAACTAGTAGCTCGATCACCGTAGAAGCGCATAGCATTTGATCAGCAAGGGATTTGCCACGAAACCGCCTGCTGTACCGTGCTAGCTGCTAGCTCTACCAGAAGCACTACAGAACAACGACACTAAATCATTCTAACGACCTCGTGCTAAGCCAGGCTACACTGCTATTTACTTACATACATAAAGGAGTACCGGGTTCAAACTTCGACTGACACCGTGCATTGAGACAAGGATTCTTCAGTGAAAAGGCGCAGTCAGCATTGTTGACGATGCTGAACTTCACTGCCGGACACCCCGCATGACACGACATGTTCTGCATGCGACAAGAAAGTGTGCGACCCCTTGAGGCAAATGCCCCGGAGTTGTCCAAGTCATGCTCCGCCGTGAGCTCCGAGACCACCTGAGTGAACAAATAGCAGCGCGGGGCTCTCAAGGGCTCATCGGTGGCATCTGACTAAAGAAAAATCCTGCCGACCGCTGACCGTCAACCCAGTCGGCCCAGCAAGCGAGGGTACTCCCAGGAACCGAAAGGCTTTTCGGGTTGAGGCCGGGCAGACTGGTCTCTCTGCAAGGACTGTTCGGAAGGTTAGCCCTTCTTGCTTCTCGTGCGATCTACAACGTCTTTGATTCGTCAGGGACTTGTCAGTCGTTGTTGGCCGAGTGACGCTCGTTTGCTTTTTGTTTTCGCTGGCGCTTAACCGTTGCTTTGTTTCCATGACTCTATCTTTGTAAAGCGTTTCAGGCCTTTGCCTGCGCCAGACCGACTGTGCCCAAACCGAGAGAGAAAGAGACAGGGAGAGAACAGACAGACAGACAGACAGACAGACAGACAGACATACATACATACACAGACATACACAGACATACAGCATACATACATACGTTTGCGTTGCTGCAGCGGCTCAGGGAGCCGGAAGCTAGCCGGAAGGCAG